AACACTGCACAGGGTGTACCATAGTACAGCCAGAAAGCCATATTACAGTTAGTTCCCGCCTCCCGCACTGGTGAGGTCCTCCAATAAATGTTGAGGCAGGCACAGCCCAGGAAAACCCCACACAGCACGCACTACCTTAGTAGAGTCTCCAATGACCCTTGTCCAAGAAAAGATTAAAGAAAACACCTTCTTTTACGAAATGTGCCTCTTTTGTTTGCGCCCTGTCACATCCTCCTTAGACTGTGTCCTGAATGAATTGAAAGGCGTCTTTTTGCGTTTCACTTGAGCAAGATATATTATTGACCTAGTGTACCCAGCAGGAAATATTACAATTAGACTGCCTTTCCCACTGGCCAGAATCTTCGGGCGCAGCCGCTACATGCCAACACTTCCAAGGGAAAATGCGGCACAGTGCAAACTTGTGATCAACCGAAAGGGAAATTGTAAGTTACAATTTTGAGGGTGAAGGTCCATGCTTCTACCTCACCCTCAAAAATGTAACTTACAATTTTTGAGTGCGTGCAGGCCGAACGAACACACACGAGGGTCAAAAATGTAACTTACAATTTTGACCCCTGTCTTGTGAGATGGAGGTGTGTCAGACCTGTATGTTCAAATTTCACCGTTTTCCAAAACCTGCATTTTGACACACCCGAAATTGTAAATTACATTTTTGACCCCCCCCCGGGGGTAAGGTAGTAGTGATTGTTTGATATAATATGTGGGTTTATGCTATCTACTCAGAATCTCAGAACCTGTTGGACTTGGGATTGATTCATTCACCCGGGACACTTCTTCTGGCATTTTGGTGGATATGGAACATTGAAGGACTTATAACAACACTCAAAACGTGCATGTTCCGTCCTGTACCAGGAGATCGGCGATCAACGAATATCAACGACATGTTCTGGTGTTTTTGGATGTGTTTGGGTGTATTGTAGATTCATGTAAGTTCTCTAAATAGACGCCTGCCCATTTGCGTTTCATTTTTGATCAAAGTGTGGACTTGGTTTACTCCACTCTTGTCACGATCCCTCCACTTCCATGGATGCCAGTGGCGGGCAGCTTGGCGCATGGCTAGGTGCTTGTGCGTTCAGCAGATGGCACTGGACACGGAAGACTGTTATCCATAGCTGCTTTTGCTGTCTAAATCAACTTCTGTGAAGACAAGGACAGACTGAGACAAGAAAGTCGCCAAAGGCACAAGACAAAGAAGTGTGAAGCGACGAGTAGCCTCTCATAATGGTCAAAAATTGTGCCTCGATTGGTGTCACTGAAGGGCATGGCCCAACGTCATTCCTCGTGGCATCTCATTTGTCTTGGACACATCGGTAGGTAAGCATCCAGGGCCAACATTCAGCGCTGTAATCTTTTTGAAACATATATTTGACGGTAGTATTCCATATGTCTTTTGCCCGTTCTTTCTGTTTGGGAGTGACAGCCACAGTCGGTCAGCTTCTGCTCGTCTCGTCTCGTCCAGAACCGGTGGACGGACGATGCCGGGACGGACATTGGAATGAACATCCTGAGTGGGTCGAAGATGAGTCCTGGAAAGAGTGCAAAGGATCACTAGTAATACAATCATGGTAGATAATATAAAAGAGTTGGATGCTTAGTCTCATTGTTCTTCACTTGAAGGTGGGGGAGAAACAAGTCAGGCCACACCAAATGACATTTGCAGTATTATGGTGTTAATTGGTGTTGAAGAACATGTTTGACACCGTCCCATGAACTGTGCAAATCAAATCATTCACAATCATACAAACAAAGACATGCCGAAGACCAAAAGAAAGAACCACCATCTTACAAATCAAAGATCCTTGTTCCATCAAACATATCCATCATCCTTTGGTTGTTTGGTCCCCCCAAAAGGGGTGAAAACCAGGTGTGTTGTTCTTTTGTTCACCCACCTGGCCTGGGCCACCTCTCTCCGAGGATCCGCATCGGGCGCCTGCCCAGCGAGCTCCGGCCGTGCGGCGGCCGCCGGAGTGTCTCGAGAGCGGACGAGCGACGGGTGGTCCGACGCGGCGGGGGGGGAGGTCGAAAGGGGGTGGGGACGGGAAAAGCATGGCATAAGGACCTATATAAGGACACGTAGGAAGAGATACTCTCAGTAGATATGGATCACTTTGGACCTAAGGAATCTTGGATGGTCAGATAGAGTCAGTTTGGACCTGTTTGGACAATTTGATGGTTAGATGATGGAGTAGTTGCTGAATTGATTCTGAAAACCGGTTTGCAAAATCAGTTTCAGATTTCAGCGCATGAGCACATTGATCCAAACTGTTTGAGATGAGAGATTGGTGGGGAGTAGGCAACGGGTCGACGGGTAGATGTCCACCATTGGTTGATAATCGGTGTTTACCTTCATTTTGTGCAACCCAACTGAGCAAGACGCAATGGGACGGCGTGAAATGTGATGGTTTATCATATTCCTGTTACTCCATTGTTCCTATTTTCCAATGCAATCTGGGGGGTTCAAGGATTGAGAGTGGAACAAGCATATACTGTAACCTGGCCAGTTCATTTTCACTTGTTGGGGCACCACATCAGACTTATGAGTATATAGGTTTGTCTCTGGCTGTCACCAAGGGAATTGGGCACGAAGAACCACCGAGAAGCCACCCCTTCCAGTATCTCTATAGCAGCCACGGAATGCGGAATGCATGCTTAATGCTTGAGTGTGAGCCAGAGTCAATAGAGCCTTGCGAAAGCTTTTCACCAGTCCCGGGACCAGTGGACTTTTCTGGCATGTTTTCTAACTGCTTCAACCACTCAAAATGGCGAGGGAATGGAAAGAAGTGAAGAGGGACATTATGTTTTCATGTATATAATTGAGGGTGATACTGTTGATAGAAAGGACACATACATACATATATATATATATATATATATATGAGTTCACCCAGTGTGCTTTCTGGTTGGCCCGTGCACGCTAGCTGTAATAGAGCCCTTTTGATGGCCTTGTTAGACACCAATACCGCTGGTAGGTTTGGAAAAGATGAATGTCAAGGGGAAGGGTAGGCAAACGGGCTGAGTGTTTCTGACCTAAGAGGCAATTATCATCAATCTTTGAACATGCCATACATGTAACGGATTGTTTTGAGAGGTGTTGATACCGGCTTGCCATGTGGATAGCTCCCTCCTGAGCAAAGTCTCTTCCAGCCAGTGACAACTCTGCAAACATTTGCTCCGAGGTTATTTGTCAGTGTGTTTCCACAATGGCCACATTCACGTTTCCTGGCGCTTGTCTTTAAAGCATTTCCACCACTTGGTTTGTTTGCGTCATGGCCAGTTGCTAGCTTGTTGGGAGGTGCCTGAGAATCCATGTTAATAATTGTCAATATATTCATACCATTTTTCTTCGAATAGGGAGCACAGGAGCTCATTGCAGGAGCATTCCCTTACTGAGCTGGGGTGATGGATGTGGGACCTGCACCGTCAAAGGGGTGTTCAATGGAGATGCACCAGGGCCCGGGCCATGTAGTGTAGGGGTCAGACCCCGCAAATTCAGGTGCTGAAAACGTGTTTCCTTGAAGTAGCCTAGGCTCCTTAAGCCGAAAGGATTTGAAGCCAAGCAAGTTGGCCCACGCCGTTCGGGCCGTTGGGGTTTGGGCGGTGATTTGGCACCCAGGGGGGTTGAGTATAGCTTGTAAGTGTTGAGTAGAGCTGCCTAAGGAAGGAGAGCAAGCTCACTTTTGGTCGATGTTGGCACGTTCAAGATCTGAAGATCATGCACTTGATGACTAGCCATTGTTTGGGCCCTCCAGGCCAGGTTGGGGAGGCACACATCCACTTCAAGGATGTCTTTCGGTGGTTTCAAGCATGACATCATACAAACTGGCCGGCAACTCAAATTGTCACATAAATTAAGACTTGTGGAATTCTCAAAACCCCAAACTAAATCCAAATTTGGAACCATCACTCCTTTCTACTATCGCAGGGTTGTCCCCTAAATCATCGTTTTGGATGTCCAATTCTTGAAACGGAGTCACTGCTCAACTTAGATGTTCCTTGAAATCTTTAAAGGGCCATGACATGTGTTTGTAGAGCCACTCATCCAGCCGCGAACCTGCTTTCGCCCGAGGTCTTGCGTTTCACCGTGCCCTGGCTGCACGGTTCAAATCCTTCAGCCGGAAGGCACTTGAAGGGGGTGCCCCAGGTGCACCCGGCACTTCGACCTCTTCTCACCTGACTTCCCACTGTCCTGGGTACTTCGAATCGAACTCCTCGCAGCCATCGACCTCCCGAGCCGAGTCGGAGCGACGACGGAGCGACGGACCGAGCGACCGGTTCGCACGCATTTGCGAGGTGGAAGGTGAGACTGGTCACGTTCAGGCGCAGTGGAGGAAGTGGGGAAGACATTCACGGGTTCAAATTTTGTTCAAACATATATATAATATGTGTTAATTTGACTTGTTTTTGGAGTCCAGGAAGCGATCCTAGCAAAGATTATTCACTGGACTGGAGGCAAAATCAGCATGTTCGAGAGTTATGGTTGTTTGAAGATTTTTGTGACGAGTGTTCAGCTTTGGAGGGTTCGCTTTGGAAGGTCATGGTTTCTTGCTTCACAGGAGATGGATGGCATTTGGCAGTTTGGTCCATGCAGTATGTATGAGGAATGTCATGCTGTAGCAACTAGCTGCGGCAGCCGGCAGGTACTCTGCTATGTCAGACTACCTAGAGGAGCAACTGTTTGCTCAACTCCAACAAACATGGAAGTGGACAGTCATGGATGTGAGGTCACTTTAGAATGACACTTTCGTTGTTGAAGCAAGGCCCCTGCAAATGAGACTTTGAGATCGTGTCAACTCTTCAGTTGCTTGTCATGTGTTTGTTTTGTAAAAAGCTGGGTTGGCAGGGATGCGTTGATGTTCTTTAGACTTAACCCAGTGGCAGATGACCTTGTTCACTATGACAATCTTGAGAGAGCCGTATGAGAACATGTGTCATGGTGTGCACATGTCATGCCCTTTGAGAACATCGGACGAAGTCCTGGCTTCGCCGTTGACCTACTCCTTCGGGCTCCGCCCCACCGGGCCTCACCGGGCCGTTCGGCGCGCGCCACGACCCGCAGGTGCAGGGGAGCCACGTGCAGGGCCGCGCGCGCGACGGGCACGCCTTCGCCGTGAGCGTCAAGGCGGCCACGCTGGAGACGCCCATGAGCTCGGCCACCGGGGCGAGAAAACGAGACGGAGAAAGGACCTGGGAAAAGGACCTGGGGGGGCGATTTGGATGGGAAGAGTGGTGATGGCAGTGTTCAGTGGAAGAGTTTGTAGCGAGAGTGGACCAAAAGCCGAAACGCTTGAGTCTTGAGTGATTGAAAGCAACAGTCATCATCACCTATTTGGTAGCTTTCGGTGGCTGCCCGTGTCTTGTTGGTTGATACGTTCCTCAAACCGCGATCCTTCAACAGTAATTTCCCAGGAGAAGGCAGTTTTCTTTTCAGTAGCTTTCGGAATCGGATCTGTGTTGTTTTTAGTATTTTGTTTGTGATGACGCGGATGATGTGAGGTTACTATAGGCGTTTCCCTTCGTTTAGAGAACCAATGGTAGGGTGGTGTGTTTAGAGAACCGAGTGACACACCCAAAGGGAGAATAGACCAAAATCCACTGGCTGGCAGGTCTCCCTGTTCTCATTTGATACACACTCACATGGCGGCACATGTATCGAAAAGGCTTTGTATCTGACAAGGTCTACACTCAGAGGATGTCCAATAGACCAGATGGGGTCCAATTGGGCCTGCAAATGCTGGCGAAACAGTCGACGGAGAACCGGTGGGAATAGTTGATCTCATCAATTAATTTGAGGCAAATGTAGTCAGCGAACCGACCTTGGGCCCAACAGTTAGTGTTACTGTACCTGGTGATCTTTTTTGTGTGCCGTTCGGCTTCTCCCAGCAGGGTGGGGTGTGCCTCCTTACATTAAAAGGTACTACCGTATACTACCCGCTCAAAACTCCTGGCTGCACTCAGAGACCATGTTTGGTGAACCGCTCAAAACTCCTGAACCGCTCGAATCCCGGATTGGGGTGGCAAGCGTCAAGCGTCTCGGAAGGGTCTCCACTTAGATTTCTGACTCATTTCAGAGTTCCAATGTCATATATAGGTGATGCTGGTGCTTCACCGAAAAGAGAATGGACCGTGTGAACTGAAGCCTCGGGCAGTTTGTCAGAAATGCCCGGCACGTATTCAATGCAGTGCTTAGGATTGGTGAAGCAAATTGGGTGCTGTGGGCCGTGCTGTGTTTCGGGCTGGGAACATCCCTGTGTCCTGCATCCGGTCCGGTTTTCGTTCACTACCCATGAATTCACTGACCTTGAACGACTGCAGTCAATCCTTTTTGGGAAGCTAATACACTGCACCAAAGGCAGTCCGGCTCTTCTCAGGTGCGTTACCTGCTGACTCCCGGAAAGCCCTTGGAGCTGCTGGCCGCGGCTCGGCCGCCGAAGCAGCAGGCAGCGCGCAAGCAGCTGGCTTACCTGGGGCTGCAAGATGATGAGGCGATCGACGGCGATGCACCTGGGCATCGTAAAAGAGAACAACAAGTTTGTCCATGTTCAGCTGGTTAACGGATTGCGCCCTGGGGGTGTCCCCAGATTCACGCACGTAAGGGGGCTAGAAAATAACCCCAAGTTGGAACTCCTGGATGCTCTGTTTCTCGAAAGCTTGGGCGTCATTGGTTTGAATGCGGGGATCATCACTGCCAACAGGTGTGTGTATTAAAATAGGTAATAGGGATACCGTGATAGGGAATAGGTATCCCATGGTATCCCTATTCCCTATTTTAGTACACACCCCAATGCTTTTGTTCAGTTCGACCTCCTGGAAGGTTCGGTACCAGTCTACCCATATTCGCCAGGGGGTCTGCTTATATCCCGACCCTTTTCGTTGAGGATCTCAAGCAGGGCACGCCAATGGGTTCGAAAGGGGGCTTGCCCATCCATTTAGACTCAGGGCCCAGTCTGCAGGGCCCATGAAGGCCATCACGCGAGTGTCCGGGCCCCTCCACACCAGGCTACCTGCCCTTGTTATGTCCGTCCCACAGGATTTCTGCCCTTGTTTTCTACCGTCCCAGACGTGACACATCCGGGTGAGGCATCGAATCGGGCCGTGAGACAGATCGGATCCGGAAGACCAACGCCTCAGGAGTTGGAGGGCTTCCAGATCGCCAGCTGTCGACGTGCGGGGCACCTGGTACTCTTAGCACCTCGGGTGTTGCGTGAAACGTCCGTGAAAGATGGAGATTGAGAACGTACCGGGGGAAAACGCACGTGAATGTGGGGTGGTAATTCATGTCATGGGTCTAGAGTCTAGACGATCTGAAATTCTGGTAGTTAGATGGTTGATTGGACACTGCGCAGCAGGGCGGTCATGTTACTGGCAGTGTTGGACCATTTGCACGGGTCGGGTGAACACGGGTGAACACCATCCAATCCGCACGCGGCCAGCGCGAAGGCGCGAAGCGAGAGTCTCAAGAGCATCTATTTGGGTGACCCGCGGTCCAATGGGTGGACTGGTCTCTTTTGAAGAACGGGGGAGGGCGTTGCGAGGTCGAGACCTATTTGAGCGATTTTCCCAGGACTCCACCATAACTCGGTGAAACCGCGCGATGAACCTGTTAGATTTGATTTCAGTCTCATGGCCCATGGCGCAATCATCGTTGGTGACTATTTGGATCAATAAAGTGAGAGTGTAAATGGATCAAATCAAGTCAAGTTGTTTAACTTGATCGGTCATCATTGGGATAAATTACCAAGTTGAGAATGCATCCTCTACCCAGCCACCATATCTGCCAGCATGTACAATCTTGCTGTCGAAGAGTAATTGTCCTGCACCTCACAGAAAGGATATCCTGTGGGTGTTTGAATTTCTTGACTCTTGTCCATCACCTGCTTTTTCATGGACTTGCTTGGATGTATCAGTGGAGGATGATGCCAGATATACACTGGCCAGTGAAACCTCCCCCAAAAAAAAACATAGACAGTAAATACCGATTCTCTCTTTCTGCTGACTCCCCATGTCAGCCGCTTAACTCTCACCACCTGTTCGTCGTTTCTTCAGGTCACCTGATCGTTTCTTTTTCGGGCCGAGGACGGCGCTGTCTTGTTGAAAGCGGCGCACCGCTATACGGCCTGGGCTCGGCTGCCGGTCGGGTGTCGCCCGGAAGTCCGGGTGACTCTGGTCGTGGCCCGGGGCTTTCCCAAGCAGCAGTTGGCCATGGAAAGGCCCATGGCGCGGAGAATCCGGGTGGGCGGAGCCTGAGAACGAATCCGTTCGTGACAAATTTTAGTGTCCGTTTCGGGCAGGAATTTTTCCGGGTTGAGAGTGGGCCTGAGATGAGATTTTGGGGGGAATGGAACCGTTGTGGGATACTGGCATTGAGGTGGGTGAGAGGCAAGCAATCGGAAGGGGACGCTCTTCACCCAGACGGCACGGGCTCTCTGCCCGGGGAATCGATTGGATAGGGTCATGAAACACCAAAAAAAACAGATCAAGGGGGGATGTTTGGTGGACGAAAAACCCAGGGTATTGGCAATTTTGCAGTCATTCGTTCTCTCAAAAGAGGTCAAGAGGGTGCTTTTCTTCTTAAGAAGTTGCATCACAGTTCTGCACTTGGGGAGACGTTTCGACCATCCCCCCACAAGAAAGGGAAGGAACGGGAACCCAACTCCTTGGGTGTTTGGAGGTTCATCAAGGTCGAGTTCTCAGCATCAGCGGGGCCGTGACGGCCCTCTCGTCATGAACATAGGGTCGATGAGACCCAATCAGGTTGGACATCTTCCCCAACGGCGAGTGCCTTTGCCCACAATTGCCCGAGGACCTAGGCGCGCGGAAACGTCGAACGAACCAAACAGAACACCAAGAGTTTGACATGTGACGGGTGGGTGGCTTCAGTGCTGGTCTTGCCGATGTCCGTTCGGCTTCTTTTCACCTCCAAACACTCGGAAAGACCAGCACTGATGTTCCAAGCCCTGGAGTCGGATCCAGCGATGTTGGACCACAGAGCGACCTCCAAGTCTGGGGCTGAGAAATCGGCCAAACTGCTTCACGGCTCATAGATGCTCATAGGTGTAAGGATTTTTAGATCTTGCAGACCTTGTAAAGCTTTAGCCTCATTGGGTTTCTGATGTTTTGTGGACATGGTGTCATTGACGCCTCAACCTGACCGGAGCGTGTAAAATGAGGGTTTCGCAACACAAAGTACAGGTTGCATGTTGATGCCTGTGTGTGTGCATGTACTCTGAGACCCTTTCTTTCAACACACTCTCGCCCCGTGACTTCTTTCTAGCCACTAAATGCTGGGGCAAAGGCATCTTGAGAGCCAACCATGTGCGATCGTACTAGCCAGAGTCGGGGTCTTCTTTGCATATGGTTCAATCTCTCTAGACACTTTTCATCGGATGTGAAACACGTTCGCAAGGCAAGCTTCTGATGTATTCACGCGTGGTGTGTGCATGTGGCATCATCTTCAGCCGTGTGTATGCATGTGGCATCATCTGAAGGAAATCGATGGTCCTTTCACCGCCAAACATCAGGGGGGGTCCTCTTGGGCACCGCTGGGCAGCGCAATCAAAATCAGAACCACCAAATTGGGCCAAATCCCTTAAACTCGGGTCCAAACATGTCCGAACCCAACAAAAATCGACGACACCACTCCTTTGAGAGTGAGGCTCCATAGGTGAAGAAAGACAAGTGGGATCAAATGATATCAAATGGGATGGGTTGTGATCTACGTGAAACTCTGGTCCACCGGCTGTGGGTGGATTTGGTGGATGGCACGGCGTTTAAGCGGTGTCCCGACGTTTTCACCACCTTGACGAGCTCAGGGGGACCCTTTGGTGTTGGTGCTTTGGGGAAACCTTTAGCATTTGGGGTGCAGACGATGATGAGGTGATGAGTTCCTTGAATACGGTTTGGGGGAGAGACGCTGTCACCACGCCTGGAGAGCGGAGAAGGTCCACCTCCACTTCAAAACCGATGAGCTTCGTGTGGCTTCACTGAGCTTCCACATGGCTTGCAGGGGACGGCGCTTGGTTTAGCAAAATGATAGCGCGATCGCCCTACTCCTTGTACTTCGGGACATGCAGACTTGCCTCGTGGGATTCATGGCTGTGGACGCCACTCTTCCAGTATCTGGATGCAAACGCGCGGACCAAGGCCTTTCATGTCACCACCCAAGATAGACTTGGAGAGGATCTTGGTGGCCACCATTCCTCGTTTTGCGAATGTCAGGGCTTCTTGGCCAGGGGGGCGCATGGGACATATGCCGGTTGACTGGCAGCTCATTTTTGTGGGGCATGTCACGTGTCAAGCAGGCTTGCACCGCTTGCGCAATGCTGAAGGGCGCACACAACACAAAATGACCAAAATATATTTGGATCCGGGATTGTGATGAGTTTCCTCCGGCGACAAAGAATTCTGAATGCAAATAATTGCGCAAGCGTGTCTAGATCTAATGTAATGCCGGGTAGCGCCGGGGTCGAAGCGCGGCGCAGGTTGGGGTCCGTGTGGTTGCCGCTGCCACTTCTCCAATCAAGCAAGGGCAGTTGAAATCACAGCATTGGGATGTTACCAGCATTTTGGAGGAGGCCGTAGACTATTGGAAGAGGTTGAGGCGTATGCCAAGAACACAGGGTGCTCCGCAGTGATGCTGTTGGCATCGCCTTCGGCGGTCGCCTTCTACAACCATTGCAGTTACACCACCATCGCTGGCTTTGCGGAGGACGGGCTTGTCGCCCACAAGGTGCGAGGACGCGCCAAGTGGTGGGAACAGCTTCTGTCCGGAGCTTGGCACCGTTGCTTTTACAAGTGGCTGTTGCGTGAATGCGAACGCAGGCCGGATATCACCATAACTCACCCGCGCACCCGTTGACCGACTTGGAGAGCCGGGCAATCGATATCCTGAGGAGCTTATGGGCGCAGCGATTAGATCGGCAGAGCCATACCACGCAATTTTTTTTGAGTGTCAGCTGATTGTAGGAAAAGCTGCGTTGGAATTTGAACGGGGTCGCACGGTTAGGTAAATATGCGGCTGCTACATGCATTATGGAACTCGTCTAACAAAGTCCTTGTGATGCATTGCTTGTGGTCTACTTTAGCGCTGGCTCCTCTTCTAAGTCTACGTCCTAGCAACATGTGTTGCTTGCCATGCAAAACAGCCCCCCTCAGAGGTATTAGAGGGCCTTCTTGCCTTATAAGTCGATTTTTTCTGTCATTGATGCACAACCACGCTGAACAAATTGAGAGTTACAAAGTCATAAACCTCATGCCAGCACGAATGACTGACCTAAGAACGCAAGAAACACCACCATCTATGCACGGTGGTCGTCGGACCAAAAGATCCCGAAAGGGTGCGCCTAGAAATTTTTGCCTCTTACATGTGGCTTTGAATGCTTGGCCTTGTTCCTAGCCGTGGCCAGTCTTGATACACATACTGTCACAAGAGTCTACTGTTATTGTTTTCACATGTTGTTTTACCTCGTCTCAGGACATTTGACTGAATTTCTAAGCGGTGGTCGTTGATATTGGGGAATTGCAAAAATAACTTAGGGTTGCGATGGGTTGGGGGTTATCTATGGTTATCTCTTGCAACTGCTACTTATCCTTTTCCATCCTGATTTCAAGGTGTAACTAGCTTACTCACCCACTCAATTTCACCAATAGGTATCCATTCGAATCCTTTTACCTTCACCAACTCACTTCTCTCCGTTTCACGCCCCTTCTCCACACCCTCTTCGCCAGGTGCAACCCACGCGCTCCACCTCGGCGGCGCCGTCTTTGGCGTTGAAACGCGCGCCGACGTGGCGGACGCAGCGGACGTCTCGACGGACGCCCCGACGGAAGCGCGAGCGGAAACGGAGGAAGCGCGGCCGGTGGAGGTGACTTGGTGTGGAATTGGCACACTGGGGGCGAAGAGCAATATGCCACTGAATGGTCATTATTGGTCCCTTCTGTTAAACGGATCTGGAGCAACAAATCGGATCGTTTTCAGCTGTGGATTCGCCGAGGATGGCCTCAGCAGTCTGCGAAACTCGGCCACAGTGGCAGGGCGGGCATGTGTTTCGGCCATTGAAGTAGCCTGGCATTGCTGGTGGAGATCATCTTGGAATTGGATGTTGCGCAAATGGCATCTTGGGCAGAAGTTTCTTCGCAAACCGAAAGTGGGTTTTGAACTGCATTTGTCTCTTCCAACACCACGCACGGATCTCACCCCCTTTAATTGCTTGTGTCGGGCTTAGGGTGAGTAAACACTCTTAAGTACTCATCAACCCAACCCCGACTTCTCCAGTCCGTACCGCCGGGACGAGCCCCGCACCGGAGGAGAGGACGATTCGCCCGCCTTGGCCTGGAAGCGGCTGCAGGACCTGGAAGCTCGGGACCGGCGCTTCCGCGGCAAGTGGCCTGGCGATGGTTTCGGGCTGATGGTGCACCATGGGATTGGCTTTGGGTTTGGAACCATGTTTGCACAGCACATGGCAGCGGTGGATGAGCAGAACTCTTCATTCCCGGTGCCTCACCCACCTCCGGTCGCTTCGTGTCCACCGAGGTTCCAAAGTGTGGCCGAGTTCAAAGAGTTTGAGCGCACGCTGCAATGGTTCCGGGCCCACGACTGTGCCCTGGTGGTGGTCTCTTGGGTTGGTGAAGAACATGTATGCCATACACGAAAAATGGTCACAAGCATAGTGTATGGCAGTTTGTACTATAGTATTGTTGAAAGTTATCAATAATTTAACATATTCTTCATGTTTGCTCAAGACCTCGGCCTTGGTACTTGTGGGCACCGACAGAGATGTGGGAGTCGGGGATGTGTTTAGCCGCGGTGGTTGAAGAGCGTTTTCTTTTGAGGTGGACGCCACGGTCGCCTGCATGTTGAGATCGTACACGGATTGCCATCAGGAACCATGCCGTCAAGACACACCATCTAAGGAGGAAGGTTCCATGGAAAAGGGCTTGTCACCGGTTGACAGAAGGACATATATATAATATATATATATATATATTCTTTTTTTCTTCAAGGTTGATTTGTGTACGGACCGGACTTCGATGCAACACTGGCACTGGCTACCGAAGAGGCAAGAGCCACAATTGCATGATTCTGATTTTCCGCAAAAAGATAACACCCTTCAAGCAGCTTCTCCCTTCCAACGCTCCCGCGGCGGAGCGTCCCTTCCTTCGCCGGTCGGCCCCGCGAGCCACCGTCGTCCAGGTACCGAGAGCCACCGACTGACGCACTCATGCTTCAAGGGTCGTTCGGACTTCACTCAGACAGGCGCGCAGGGACCCGGGTGGGAGGACTGGGTCGAAGGAGTTGGGGTTTCACCCCGTGTTTCAGGTCAGAACGAAGATGATGGTTGTGGTGGCATTTGTCCAATCACTGCGATCGCATCCGTTTGAATGTATCTCCAGCTGTTGAGACGAACCCACCCTTGCAAGCCGAGAGATGCAAATGGTTGTCGTGACTGGTCCCAGTGGTGCGAAACGACGCCAAAGAGCTTGGTGTTTCGCAGCTGGGCTGGTGAGGGTGTGGTCGGTGTGGTTTGAGAAGATGTTTGAACCGAGGGACCTGTTCCATACATAACCACCCCTTCGGTGGTGCTGGCAGATGCTCATGACTCATCAGATGATGAACCGTTTCCGACCAGCCGATTCCGGGGCATTGGCCTCAAGTGGAACAATGGTGGTCCACAGCAAGGTTTGGCAAAGTTGCCCAGTTCGATCACTGCCCAGTTTGAGTGAATCGGGAGATTTTCATATTCACCACCCCTTTGGATACCGTGCCTCTATCCAGAACTTTACAAAACGTGCCCACCCGGCCAGGCATGTTGGTCTTTGATACGGAGGAGGATTTAGAGGGCTTCTTGACTGAACTGTCGGCCGGGCAGCGTAGAGAATCTATGAGAATCTTCTGCAATGCTTGGACAGCTGCTGAGACAAGCAACCAAAACCCTCCTGGTCAAGATACAGCACCTATACATTTTGTCATTCTCATTTGGGAAGAAGCGGTGAAGCCCCTTTTTATTGTCTTCGAGAACAAGTTTGCACCAAGGAGCAGGCTGCAGGGATGACGACATTGAAAAGGATGGACTGACCCAATCATCCCAATGCTTGAAGCATGGTTCCGACCACGTGGGTTCCCAACACGTGGGTTCCGAACACGCAGCCGAGGACTGAACAAAGCAATCGCATGGCTATTCCATCGGCATATTCCAGTGGCAGCCCGGACTTATGAAGGTGGAAGAAAGGTGTAATGAACATTTTGAATCATTTTGATAATTAATCCATGGTCCATGGTGGTTGATGGAAAATACATATGATCGAAGATGCCAGGACCAGAGAGCTGCATTGGAGGTCGGTCCACCTAACCAGTTTGTTCTTTGCAAAACCTTTCAGAAGATTTGTAACTGACCCCATCAGATTTGATAGGTGCCCCCTGGTTTAATTGCTGTGTAGGGGTGTAGGTCGCAACTTACTGGGTGATGTTGGGAGAGATATGTGCCAAGTGATGTTGGTGCCTTCAATTTCGGGAGCTACGATACAACAGGACTCTACCTCTTCAAGGCCTGCTGGCGCCAGTTGATATCCACCAAGAAGTGCTACTGCTAGAGTCATCCTCGCATAGATGCAATCTAGGATGGTTTGCTGCTTGGGACAAAGGGCCGGGCGCTGGAATCTGTGTAAGATCTTTTTACACCGCATGATTTACTGCAGCAGAACTCAGGTTCCATATAGGTGAACAGCTATTTGTACTAGAACAGCAGGATGGGCGTATATAAAGGGCAACTGAAGGATTGAGTGTCTTCATGAAGACATCCCAAAACCATTCCAGAATCGTGCACAAGCAAGTAGAATGTTTAACTTCATGGTGGGCAAACCAATGAACCTGTCCACATTCCAAACTGGAACAGATCCTGAGACAATGTCCGACAGATCGCTGTTGAGCCCTGGATCCAGCCCGATTCCTTTAAGTCGCACCAGTCAGCCCAGTCCCCTTTTCAATGCGTATCTCACATCTCTTCATTGAATTGAGTTTTTCTCGAATCCCAGTCTAGCAGAGACTTTTGCAAGTCTTTACATGTTTAACTTGTCTACACACCCAACTTGAACCTGTCTTCTGCCTCTGCGCATCTCTGCGCCGAAGAAACATCTCGAGGTTTGGACTTGCGTGGACACTCCTTCGCAGACCGGTCCCGCTTGCCAGCTGCGCCTCCGGCCCAGCCAGGTCTTAATGGAGCGCCAGACGCGGGTCTTTCCCTTGATCTTCGATATGGATTTAAAGGCGCTCCAGTTGCGAGCGACACGAGTTTCCCGTGGGGCGTGTGGGTTGTTTCATGGGGTGTCAGGCATCTACGGGTCCATTGGGACTGGGGGGTGAAGGTCTATGAAGGTCTGGAGGTGCTTCCCGGTCAGTTGAGGCTTTTTTCAGGGGCATGGGGCATCGATTTCAAACGTCTCAGGTGGTGCGGTTGTGAAGCGGTTGGTCTCGGTGGTGCTTTGAGAACCACAGCGAACGAGTCAACGGAGAGGGGCGTCAGCCGGTGCTGGTGGTTTGTGACCACTGGTCATTGGAGAGGAAAAGCACCCCATGATCCCCATAGCCGGGTTCATGAGGTTTTGTGGTAAATGGAGTTGATTTGTTTGGATTGCTCGGTGACACACTACCCTAAGGATCCGGGCCCTCAAATATAAGGGGTTTGGTTCGGGTCCACCCTCTGCCATGGAGGGCCCAAGGATTCTTGGAGTGGTACGGCTGCAAAGCTTGGAAACTTTGCAAAGCTTCTAGAAAGCTTTATTGTTACTACCCTAGTAGGTTCTTGCTACCAGTAATAATGGCCTCCAACCTAATAGCGATGGCCTCCAGCGAAGACCCAACAAAACCCTGAAGACATCTGAAGACTATTCCCAGTGGATCCAGTCACCGAATAGATCGTTATAAGATGTACATAACTCAGGTAACCATAGTGGTTCCAAAAACTCGGGCATGTAGATCTAGAAACATCTAGAAACCTTGGTTCCTTGATGTCCCTTGTGCAGTGCATTGTCTACAACCTGTTTGTGTCGCATACTTGCAGTGTGTCGGGGTGTCTCAATTAAGGGTAGAATGAATGATGAACCAATTCTGGTTCAGGTCTGTTTTCCTCGGAAAAAGAACTGTTCATTCAGACCAGAACTGTGTTTTTGTCCCATTGCCTTGGCGTCACCCAGGCCGTTGGAGGTGTCGATGTTGGTGGTCATCCAGCACAGGGTTTGCTGACAACACGGATCCAGAACAAGCTCCGTTAGATGAACATGTCACCCATATGTCACCCATCCGTACCCCATCCCAGTTCTTTTTTCTACCGAATCGAAGGGTGGAAGTCTATGAATTCCCTATGCCAGAAACACACGGCCAAGGAGCGACAGTTCCATTCTTTTTCAGTTGACCCCTGATGCGCCCAGAAGAGGCCTTGAAGCCCACAGAAGATGCGCCACAGCCACGGCGAACCGATGTGGGGACGGCTTGGGCGACCTCAGGTGACGTCCAAAAAACTGCTGGATGCGGTGCCTCGACGCCTGAAGCTTGCACGGCCATGGCGGCACCAGGCGCCTAACGCGGTGTGACAGGTGTGGGGACCTGATTCCGGCCTTGAGGTGACATTCCCCAGATGGATGGGAGTGGTGACCGAATTGAGAGGTCAAATGGTTCTGTTTGGGGTTGGAGGTGGGTGAAAGATGAGAAGACGAAGATGACGGACCCGCCAGCCACCACTATGGACAATTCCAAGTGAGTAAAGAGTCTAGTTTGCCATCTTTGGTACTTCTATTCTGAAACATGCCCACATCAGTTGCAATCTACAAGCTGGAACTGCATCATGAACTTGGAACTCAGCCAATAGAATCTACAGTATAGTTTACGATTACGATCGTCTAAACGCACACATGGATCCCAATCAGACATCAGTGCTTTACATCCCAATCAGACTCTCCAGACGCTTGTGGCGGTGCAGGTGGACTTTTGCTTGTGGCACGGTGCAGACCACTTTGTGCTGAGCGAGGTGCAGGGATCGGCCTTTGTCGAGAGTCCGCTTCGGAGACAAAGGGGAGACGGGACCAATGACAGTGTTTATACGGTAGTTTGTAATCCTTTGGACGATGTATTTTAATTTGGGGCTGATTTAGCTATATCAGTTACAGCTTTGGTTCGTTATGGTTGGTCCATTGGTTACATGAATATATAACACCTGTAACATATGTGCCTACAGCAAGCAGCTCCAACAAATCTGAGGGCTTTCTGGAGACCACCGCTCAGCCTTTTCCACAGTCTCAGGGTGTGAACAGCTCAGCCGCTCAGCCGTTCTAGGTCCAGGTGTTTGGGGTGCCCTGTTTGTGGGTATAATTAAATTGACACATATTGAAACATATTGAAACTATAACCTCTTTGATTTATAGGTGAGTTTCAAGCTTTGCCAACTTGTTGCCGAAGATACAGGTGGTGGCGTGGACCACGTGATGAAGTTGACTTTTAACGGTGAGATGTGCGATACGGTTAGCTTCGTCCTTACACCTGGGTGTGCTTCAACTGACGATTTGTGGGTGGTCAATGGTACATGTCGTTGGGTAGGGCCTGTATTCCGCGTACTTGTAGTTTGTTTTTTGTTGGGTGAGTGAATCCTGCAATGGGGTGGTTAGATCAGTTAGATCAGTCTTGTGTTTGGCTACGCCGCCGTTAGCGGCACTGAGTAATTTGCTATGTTTGGTGATATTTTTTGGGTTCAGGGAGGTTTCGGGTGGTCATAGTGCTTTCCTTTCGAGCGTTTTGGGCAGGGTGCTTCAGTTTCGGTCCTGTTGGATGGTTTCTTAATTTGCGGCAACTGAGCGTCAACTGAGTGGAGTGCCGTGGGATTACCTGCTCAATGAGTTGGATTTCTTGCGGCAACTGACTCCTCTGCTGGGGATGGTTCGATTTGTCGAGACTGCCCGAACTCTTCCATTGACCAGCAACAAGGGTGCGAATTCCACAGCGTGTGCAGATGTGCACAAGGATGTGGCTACAACCAGGGTTTTAACCAAGCTACAGCCAGTGTCAGGGTTTGTGAAGGGAGAAGACTGCTTGCTCATGCGTTTTAGACCACGCTACCACCAGTGTCACTGGTTGTGCGTCCTTCTCCAGCCGCCGCGTCACGGCGGCACAGCCGACAGCTTTTATATCAACTATTAGGTCCGATTTCAGACCCATGGAACCCTGACATGTGATGAATCTGTTCTTCAGCTCAGCTGTCACGAAAGTAGTTTTTCCACAAAAACAGGACTTGGTGCTTTTGCGGCACTTGGGGATGATTGCACCTTGGAGCATCGATTGAAGTGAGAGGAGTGAAGTGAAAGGATGAGTTTTGAATTTGAATTTGGATGCTTCTTCTTCCAAGGCAGGGCTTTGTGATGTTTTACAGGGGTCTTTGAGTTTTTGACCATGCCACCAAGCAGTGCATTTTCCAGTTGGCGCACAGAGGGCTTCACCCTTGATTTATGCGTTTGTTGGTTGTTTAGTTGGAAGGGCTTGGTTTATTGTGGAATGTTGCAGATCACTACGCAGTCAAACATCTACATTGCCTAAGACCTCCCTTGTTTTTTCAACTCCCCAAGTTGGAAAGAAACACAACCACAGGGCTGGACAGTCCAAGCTGATCAGTGTTTTTTTTGCCAAACTTATCACAGTATCTCGGCCCCGGCCTTGCAACCAAGATTCTGCGATGGCCTTTTTGAGATTGTGGAATCTGACTTAGACATACACACGCATACACAAGCACCCTCCAACATGTCTGCTGGAGTTCTTTTTTGTTGGCATAAGTTGCCAGTGACGACCTGCTGATCTTTTAGAGGTTTCAGGTAGGGTGGATGGTTTGCAGGCGATGAAAACACCACGTCCATCAACCAACCTTTCGAACCGCTGCCCTTTCTTTCACCTTCGAGGGGTGGCACCCCAATCCATCAATCCTGACTGAGGTGTTTCAGTTCTTCCCGGATTTACCACTCATTGACTTCTGCATCTTCAATGCCTCCGGCTGGGATCGAGTCAAGGACTTCCCGTTTTCGTGCTTATGCCTTGAGGGGCGAGTACGCAGCTGAAGGATGCATGCTTCAACAGTCCATCCGGGTTCGGGTCCTTCGAAGATTCCAACAGCATGTTCGGTCGTTTGGAATTGGAACCAAGACAACGTGTGATTCCGAAGATTGCCAAGTTTGACCCCCTGATAATCCGTGATAGTAGAAGAAAACCAGATCAAGCACCCAAGAGAAGGCAGGGACACTTGCAAATAGACGGGGTCGTGAAGGTTATGACCTGCAATCAGCGTGTTTGTGCATCCGAGAGGGGCCCTCTAGCTCGGTTGGTTTGGTTGTTTGGAACTATACTTGCATCCACCAGGATACGTTCATAAGCATACCCTGGAAGTCCATCACTATAGGACATTATAAACTATAAACATATCACTGCATGAAACATTTTTTTAAAGTAAGAAACGGTGAGAACAACTTGACTTGGCCAAGAGATGGACTTCGCGGGCACACGACCCCAGATCCTGAAGAAACACCCTTAAACAACTCCTGCCATGTTTGTTTCATGTCTCCTACACTTTTGCTGCTCTTAATCCAGTTTATCTCAATTCCCTGACACAAGTTTCAGGCCATTGAACATTGTACAATCTTGTTGGTAACATCGTACACATCCCTCTCGCCCAATTCACCACCAAGTTTCAACGGTAGTTCTCTACCACCAGAGCGGTGATGAACTACTTTGGGTCACCAACTCTCCGAGTTCACCAACTCGCTAGAACGTTCCCCGAATGATGGAGAAACCAAGCAACGTTTGAATTGGAGATCATCAATTCACCCAGACTCCCACTGAGTCACTCAACTCCCACGTCATGTCACCAGGAGTTGGTGAAGGTCTCATTGCATTTGGTAGCACCCTATGTGCCGAAGCTGCGGTTTGACGTCTTAAATTGGACACCGTCAGATTGAAAGGGCCGGGGGGGAAAGACACATATAAATATAGTTATACGTATATATATATAGTTGTATTCATATATTTATGACCTGAGGTGCAACATCTTACCAATATTTGCTTCCGGTTTTGGCAATTTGGACATGGGTCATGGTTTTGGATCAGAGTTTACATCTTATCTAATGGTTTGTGTGCCCAAAGAGAGTTATCTACTGCAGAGCTTGTGCCTTGTTGCAAAAAAAACATCCTCATTGAACGGACGGCGATGGAACATCTCCTGGAGTCTGCCAGTCATCCAAGCAAGTATCAAAGAGAACCCTCCCAAAACATAATGGAATCATGTATCTCTATGGGTACAACGATGTACAACATCCCTCAGACCCTGTGGAGGTTTAGACATAATTCCATATATGCGACTTTTATTACTGTAAATATCTATACTGACGAATATAAAGCAGATTATATAATTCACACCAGCTTAAACGGCCCACCTTGGCGCGTGCTTTCGGACGCAGGTCTTGGTGACACCTGAGCGCTTGGGTTCCATCCGCGAGCGGATGTTGGAATACCTGGGCGAGTGTTCTGCCTCTTGGGTCGCAGCGGATGTCGGTTTGGAGTTTTGCGAGTCGCGAGACTGAGGAAGAGACGGAAAGGCTGGTTGGTGCCAAAGTGTCCGGACAAGCGAGATAATTAGTGTTCTATGGTTCATGAATGCTCTGAGGTTGGAATATCTCGGATGGTTGGTTGTCCACGACCAGGTTTTGGTGCATTGATCGAATTAGTTGCAACACTTGGAGTGAGAGCCTCAGGTTTCTTCGTTGTTTGGAAACTGGTTGGCGTGGGCCAATCCTACCATGGCCATCCAACCAAACAAAAAGAGGTGGAACCCACCTGCCCGAACCCACCCTGCATCTTCCCACGATGAATGAAACTGAAGGCAGACATGAGACGAACTGACTTCAAGTGTAAGGTACTTCGTCTGTATGCCGAATTCATGCCGAATTCATCGTTTCATGTTGTTTCAAGGCTAGCCTACTTACCGGGTTCCGGCCGGGACCTCGTAGGTGTTTTTTGGAACCAAGCCGGAACCAGCACCAGAGACAGCCCACACCTGAACGTGGAGCCGCTGAACGTGGAGCTTTGGGTTTGTCTCATTTCCTGGTGGCTTGTGGAGCCTTCTGATCACTTGGAGGGTACAAAAATTGGAGGACTGAATTGGTGGCTGCCAGGAGGTGGAGGATCATCCCTTGGCAAAGGTCTTGCAGACCTACTTGGAGGACTGAGTATGGAAGACATGGAAGGGGCCAGAGTCGGGGGTGTAACTTGGGACCCAGCGAAACGTCAAGTGTAATTTGGGACATCAGGGACTGAACAAAAACACTAAACAGCTGGTGATTCTTTAGGTGGAAAGTTGGTTGTTGGAGCCTTTGAGTAGGTCTATGTTTCAACCAAGATGCGGAGTCAGCTATATCAGCTGGTGATTGAACCAGACTGGCACCGAGATATGAAAGGCGTTGTGGCGTTATGACATGACATGTTTTATGGTGACTGATGGAACACGTCCGACCGTATGAGCTAGAAGAGTGGTCCATCTCACTGTCCGCGGTGGATGGTCTGTGTATGTCTATGATCTACCCAGCCTTATGTCTATCTAATCAGGGTCCCCTACTGAGATGTTTTGTTTGTTTTTGGCATGAATGAATGTCCGAAAGTTGGGTGAATATTCAGAGGGGATGAACTGACATGAATCAATTTGTGTCCTTCCTATAAAACATGTAATTAACTATCTGGGGGGGAGTTGATTATTATATTTTGTTATATGTGCAGAATTTTGCACAAACAAAACATGGGAGATAAACATGTCTACCACCCATTGCTTTGAAATCACTCATCAATGAGTCTTTATAAAATGCAAAACCTTTTCCCCTATGCCCCAAACCAGGTTCGATTTCAGAAATTAATCATAGGGTGGTTGACATCTGAGTAATTTTTTCAATCTGAAGTCACAGGTCACCTTAATAATTTGTTTCACGGAACTCTAGGCAGCCGGATTAAATAACTCAGAACTCGACCTCCTTCACAGGCATTCCTCATTAATTTTGTCTATTTCTTTAATCTTGCACTTGCCAGTGTTTGGATCATTTAGAAGACCCTCCCTAATCAAAGAAAACACATTTATCCAGGGGGTACCTCACCCCGTCCCCTACCTAATGCAGAGAAGATTGTCTATTTGGGGCAGCAAATCTCGCCATGCTCAGCGCCATGTTTCACGGCCACCATCGCACTGGTGGAGCATGGCACAAACATGCAAACATCACATCCATGGCAGCCCGAAACTGCATGCTGTGCGCTCAGTTCCACCAGGAGTCCGAGGACAACACCTGGGACAAGGCGAAAACCTGTGAACCCAGCTCGCGCAGGGATGGCAGAGTAGGGATAGACAACCGTAGATGGATCATAGAAGGTAGATGTCAGTAGATTTGTTTTATAGGCTGTTTTTTTTGCAGGGACCATTTTGTGATGAGGATCTGAACTTGAGATGACTGATGACTGTATGTCCCAGTGGATCAAACCACTCCTTGGGAGATAGCGGTTCAGACTAAAAAGCGTCGGTGACCCCAACCCATGGCTGCCTGGGATCCACTGAGTGCATCCTTCGGGAGCTACCTGAGCTTCACAAGGTTGTGGATCAGACAGTCACCAGCGGCACCAACGGCCTCCGGATGCCCTACTGCGACAAGGCGCAAAGGCGGGGCCGTGTTTTCTGACGGAGTCACACGGAGCTGAGACGAAGTCAAGTGTCACCAACGAAGAACCCGTCTGGATCCAAACGAAGAACCCGTCCATTTCTTGGCGCGGTGAGCTCTGACAAAGCCTAGCCTAGATTTTGTAGCAGAATTGCTGTAAGCACTGTAGCACACATTGCTGGCTAACTCCCGATCTCTCCGTAACTGCACTTGGAAGCAGTGGAGTAGAGACACAGGCTAAACTTTGGGCTATAGCAAAAATCGAAGCCATTCCAAACCTATCTAGGTCCAGTAGACATCAGTAGTCCATTTGCCCTGCATGAAACATTTCTGTGAACAACTCCAATTTCAACTGCGCTGCACGAGAAAGGACTTGGGCGGTGACTAGAATCTAGGGTCTGGGTGACTGGCCAGCCAAGCAGGACCCTCAAAATGTCAAAACGCTGGATGGTTTGGACATGAGTTAAGTCTGTCCTAACAATCAGTTGGACTTGCCCTCTATGTTTTCTCCAAACAGTGTCCGTGCTTGGTGCAACTACTTCTACCACTGAAGTGTTCTGACTACATCGTTTTGCAGCTCCTTTGAGTGGCGGCTTATAATTCATTGCATTGGTTTCACCTGTTTTCGATGGGGTTGGAGTTGTTATTTCCTGACTTCCTCAAAACCATATAGAACCTTCAATAAAGTGGGTTGGGTCAGTTCTCAGGACCCTTGACACCTCCGCGTTCGTTTTTTTTGGTTTTGATGGGTCCCTTCCAGGATCCTCAAGCGGGAGTTTGTGGAGCGGAAGGAGAAAGGGGAGTTCTTCACCGAGCGCGCCCGGGACGGCAGCTTCGTGCGTGTGCGGGCGCCATCGGAGGACTTGACGGAAATGGCTAGGGCTCAAAACCGGGGGGGCCCTGGTTGGCCACAGAAAGTGAACCGAATAGTTTTTTTTTTGTTATATTTCTGTAAGTGTGTAGTAGCAAAGACATTGGGAGTGTAACAATCAGTAGAGTCTAAAGGGGTGTTTGGGGGGGGGTACACCATTTACTGCTCCTTTGGGCAAGTTTTGGGGGGGGTACACCATTTACTGCTCCTTTGGGCAATTTTGGCTCAAGCTACGTAGCAGGGTGACTCCTTTCTATGACCTATTTGGTCAGGTGTCCTCAGCTGCACCAGCTGGGCATCGGGCACCTCTTCGGATTTGTGCTTCCAGCCACATGTCTGGTCAGGGTTGGAACTGGGTGGTGCTTTCGCGCCTGGTGGGCATCTGTGGTTGGCTCAGCTTCGCCCCACTCCTTCGGGCGGATCAGGTCTGTGAGAAATTTCTTGTGTCGTATCTCACCGGCTGCGCGAACGTGGCTTACACAGCATCTGCTGTGGCAATTGTTCTCGTCAAGGCTGACAATATTGGCTCTCTACCTCAAGGGAAAGGCCAAGTCAAGGGAATTGTCATTGGTAGCCCAGGAGACTGAGACTGCACTAGACCAAGCTCGAGGCATATAGAAATTCGCCATGCTAAGCTCAATAAGATGGCTGACCCACTCAGGTGGCCTCCACCTTTCTCCAGACAATCTTAGGGAGTTTCCCATTGAGATTGGATCTTTTTCAGAGGAAAGAGGGAACCGGGTCGTTCCGTTTAGTACCCGCGTCGTTGTTTGCTGATTGTGAACTTGCCTGAGATGCGCTCAATTTGAAGCGTTCATTATGCCCTTCGATCACGGCTCCGGCTCGACGACCCCCCCAGAAATTGAAACCATGGTCCGAAGGGCTGGTGTTCGGTGCAGGGCCACAGGTGGCTTCTTCGAGTCCAACGCTCCAATCTACAAAGGCTTCAGCACCCAAACGCATGTACAGAACAGTTTGGCAATCGGAGCTGAATCCTTGTGTTGACGATAATTCAGGTTCAACTGAGAACTGATCTGCGCTGAAGATTCGCTACTGCGCTGATAGTCCCGGTGGCTGAAGCTCTACACAGAGCAGGGTGATTTGAAGAAAGAACACACCACCCAGAGAAGCTGTGCAGGACGCAGCAGTAGAGAATCTTGCCAAATAGTTGAGACTAACCGAAAACGCCTACAGGAACAAGTGCCCTTCGTTGCGCAAAGCATTCGGCCAGAACCACCGGTGCCGTCCACACAGTTCAGACTCTGCGTTGCGTCAAAGTGTTTGGCCGTTGAGATCGTATTACTTCAAAGCTTTGTGCATGAAGCATCGCTATTTCTTTGGCCGCTGAAAGGATGGAGTTCGTCCATATTTGTGCCAGAGCCTCGTGATCGCACCGCTTCAACACAGTTGAAGAAGCTCCATAATTATTTGTAAGGTCGCCCGCTCAGGGCCCCACCACCGCGACAACCTCTATGGCGATCTGTGTGTCCTTTGTCATTCGCTTGGCGCAACGCGGAGTATGATCTTACGGAGTGTATATACGCGCCCACAGGTCGTAAGTTGCGAGGCCAAAGCTTTACCAACGTCCAAGATAAAAAGGTCTACGGTCTCCTCCTGTTCTTATTCAAGGTCGACAGAGCCCTGCGCTTCGCATGTTGGATCAGATGGGCCGTGGCTCAACTGGGATTCAGCTAGCTGAGGTGTAAAGGGGTGCGTGATCCGACCTGTTAATGCTGTGTGTAGTCAAGAAAGTGCGAGAATGTTTGTGGAGTAGACACACTGGTGCTCAAGAGCTAGCAGGGTGACTCCTTTCTTTCCCACCCACTCTTGGGACACGTGAGTGGGCTTTACACGTCAGAGTTTGGGAGGCTCAACGTGTCATTTAGCTGAGGTGTGCGTGGTCCAACTCTGTCGATAGTCTGCTTCTGACGTTGTTGTGGGCCTGTTGCAGGGCTAATCTGCATAAGGGAATCACTCCACACTCCACACCCAAGCTTCCCAACCTTGTATCAAGAGTCTGTGTGCTCAGGTAGTTTAACTTCAATTTGGCAGGTTTCTTTTCCCAGGCGGTGCAGAAGTCGATTGCGCCCGGCCCGCCTGCCCCAGATGCGAGTTGCAGTGAAAAAAATCTTCTAGATTCTACATGTTATATACATGATCTACATGTTTATGTTCCATCCCAAGTGATGGTTGACCGGTGGAGGTCCAGAAAACTACCATCCCTGACTGGCAACAGTCTGATGCCAGTGTCGCCGGTCTACGGCTCCCACAGCCAAGTGAGCATCCCCATGAGGCCCACCGCAGGAGTACCCACCGTTGCTTGACCCCCAAGGAGTTCCAGTCCGTTGCGACGGCCACTCTCAGCATGTCTCCGGGAGTGTAAAGATGCATATTCTATTATCATACTATAAGATACTAGTACGTAGAGACTTGACTGGAAAGGTGTGGAGGACGTCTTGACAGAACCTCCACCATACGCCACCCAGGCGAGCTCATGGATCAGCATGCCTACCTCAAAGAGGAGGTCGAACCAGGGCGGACGAATAAGTGGGGGGGTGCTACTCATGACGCCAAGGTGGGTTGGGTTGGCGTCCATGAAACAATAATATATTTAAGTGAACTTGCCTCCAGCAGGGTTCTCTCCAGGCCGGTGTTTGAGGACTCAAGAATGAGAGGCCTTGGTGAGCTGTTGGAGGGTTCAAACTCTAACGAAGGCTTGATTATCCTGCAAATGTATTCTGTGGGTTGCACACACTGCGCACCCTGCCCTGCTACCCCCACGAGCCAGAGAATTGCGTGACATACTGACTCACATACGATATTCAGATTGACGAGAACATGACTTATGAATTTGTTCAGTACAAGTGAAAGTGTAATTAGGTCTGGACTTGTTGGTACCTCATTTGGTTTTGCAAACTCTGGACTTGCCAATCACCACCCCTCAACAGATCCTGTCACCGGGTAAACATAGCAAACCACACAAACCTGAAGATGTTGATGGTTTTCAGTGTTTGTTGATGAAACCCTAACGGCGTTCTCGTCCCCAAATCCTGTGATGGTCAACCTCGGACGTTCACACCAACCCACTCTCTTCACTCTCTCGAATGAAATTGCTTCCGGCGTCCAGGCGGGAAGGCCTTGCTTGCCGGAGGGCATCCTGCGGTTGATCCCTTGCAAGGTGGGATCGCGCATCGCCGGTGGTGAGCACCGGGTCCACAGCGGCACCACCCCAAAGGCGCAGCCAAGGAGTAGAAGGTGAGGATATGCGAGGATGGAAACAGTTCCGGCAAAAAGAATGGACACATGGACTCACATGGACACATATGATTACGTTATTTTTCTTGGAGGTACTGGTGGTAACTCCCTATGATAATGTATATATATTCTATATTCCCTACGTTGTTTTGCGCAACAGTACTGCCCCAACCAGTTATGGTGTTCGAAAGAAGTGATGTTTTTGTAGGGGACAGAAAACAGCGGTTATGATGTGTTCCAGATTTTCCACAGGAACAACATACATATACATATTATATACTATGACTATATCCTACAATGAATATTTTTTTGTTTGTTTGCATTCCTACATAACATGTTCTAAAGTGGTTACAACATATGAATGCAAATGATATAGTACATCCTTGGTCATTTTGGTGGGTTTTATGGCATTTCATTTTTGTGACATGATGCGAGTGCTTCGATTCAATGAAGTACAACACAACGTTTGACGGACAGAGCAGGGAAGAACCACACCACCAACAAAAAGGGAACTGTCGGGTTTGCCGATTTGAAGCAATACTTTGTGTGCATCAAGGCTAACTTGCCTTGGAACAAGGTGTATAGCATATGTTTTTGTCCCCTTTGGCCTTTGAAAGGTGGTGGAGTGCGGGGTTTCGGATACCCAAAAACTTGGTGGGTTCTCAAGTCTTTTGCCAGGTTCTGCAGTTATCCGCCCATAAGATCATGTGCTTTTCGAGGATGGCAACACCAAGGTACACCTCAGGTCATTTGGAGGAAAATCCTTGATTGCCAGGACCCCGAGAGTGACTTGGCCCTGCCGGAGGCCGGGGTTTTGGCAGCTGAACCGATCGTTTCGGCAAATTCCGTTCTTATCATTTGCTTAAAACACGGTCGGATTCATATTCAACAACCTCTCGTATCGAGTTGCACGACCATTGTTGCTCCTCTCTGTAGCGAAGGCAACTCCCTCCATCTCTTCTGCTATGGGTACCCTCAGCTCCGAAGTTCCCTTTCGACCAGCACGCAACATGGACATACATGGACGTGTATGTGAATATGAACAATGCAAAGCACCGGACCCCTTGGAGACTAAATTGCAACCGGCATGACTGTAGAAGCCACGCTTGAGGTTAGACAATGTTAGACAAATGCGTGGAATGTACAAACGATTGGATCATGATTGACAGCCCGTTTGACAACTGATGATATTCCTGCAGTTGACAGACAACATTGCCAAAATGGGAGGTCCCAAGGAATTTGCCACGTACCTACGTACCATGGCTAAGCTCAGTACGTGGAAAGCCTTGAAATAGAGACTCTTCATTGCCACAGGAGATCCAGAACTTAATGACTTATATAATTAATGTTTGCAGAATAGTCTCGCGGCATAGGGCAAAGACAGGATTTCCACGGATTTCCACAATATTGATCTTTTTTGTGGACTTATTCTGGTTGGTTCCATTCATTCCGTGAAGCTCGTTTGAGGTGAACATGCTCGTTTGTTCAAGGGAGGAGCGTTTTGGCAGTCCACTTGAGTGCGAGCACCTAATACATAAGCGGTCATTCCCTTTCTAGAGGACAAACGGCTCTTGAGATGAGAATGGTCCATGCTCATTTGTTCTCTATATGTGATAGCGTAGACATGTGTGGACTCCATATTGTCGAGAGCGGCAGGACTCCTCAAGCAGGTTTTGTGTAGCTCGATGAAGCACATGTTTGAGGTCTTGTACTGTCTAAATATAAAGCACCGATTGCAGAATGTTTATACCTGAAGTCTCAAAGTACCCCGGAAAACGCGTAAGTACAAGTACTAGTACCTGATTTTATAGGGTAATATCATGGAAATATCCCATTTTCAAAGGTACTTTGGAGGGTCCAGGTCTGTTTGTCTCCAGTTTTGTCTCCTTTGAATGAAGAGACTGGCCGTCATGGACCCGGGTGAGTGAGTCTTTACATGCATCTTCTGCGCAGAATCTTGCACCTCTCCCGGGGCACATCACCTTTTGATTGGCCACTTTCAGACACCTTCCACTGCTCCATCCAGGCCCGTTGGATGTGCAAAGGTCGCCTGGCAGCAGCTCTGAGGTGGTCGACTTGAAACGGACGACCCTCCAACGGGTCGCTTCAAGCGCGCAACCGGTTTTGGACCGAAAAGCCGGGGCGATGATATGTGATCTCCTCAGGTGGTGTAGGATGAACTATTCAAACTACTGTAAAGGTCCCCCAAATCGAGAAGATCTCGAAGGTATCCCCGTTGTGGGGTCGTTTTCGTGTTACCTAAATGCAATGTTACCAAGCTTGAAGCTGTGTTACCTAAATGCTGAAACCAAGAAAATCAAACACAACAAAACACTACATCAACACATCAATGTCTTCCCAGTTTTCTCATAATTTGAGACTATGGATGGAGCCCCAAAGCTACCACCTACTTCAGAGCGAGCTCAGACCCCGCAGGTGACGAACTCATACATTATGTAGATGAGTGTAGGGAAAGCAGGGCAGGGATACATTCAACTCACCAGAACACCTGGTAGAATGGTTTCAGTAGATGAACAACTGAATTCAGAGGAGTTCTGTCTTTGATCTCGACTCGTGCTATGGTCCCAGCCGGTGTTTCCAGGGTGTCTGCTAGAAGGTCCAAGCCCAACCCTGGTATCACATTCACCAGATGGATCTACATAAACCCCAAGGTTCAAAAGACTATTTTAAAAATAGGCGTTTCATGAAGTACGATTATTGAAATGGTACTTGCGGTTCACGCTTTCACGGTGGTATGGTTTTCATGACCCCCACCCAAGCACTGAACCAACATTTTCACGCACGGCCCTTCGAATATCTGGCAGCCACCGATCGATTCAGCCTCAGCCGAGTCAGCTGCTTAGCATTTATAAATAACATCGAGCCAAAAACCAAGTAAATCTTGGACCAGTTCAACCTCGAACTATCACAAAAGCCCAAATCAGCTTGAACTCAAACTGACATCAGTTGAATTAATGCAGACTAGAAACATTTTCGCTTTGATCTTTGTTGCAGCGATCCTGAGCTGGACCGAAGTTAGTGGCTGGGAGAACCACAGAACTCACCCCCCATGTATCTCCTACTTCTGGCACACATGCCAAACAAAACAGGATGTACAGGTTTTTAGGCTGCAGCTTCCTACAAACCGGCCGACTACAATTTCAAGAAAGAATCCGGAGCCGGCCACAGCGAATAATCCACCGGATTCTGTGAAGTGCATGTGCACGTGCATATGTGCCTGGGTCGATCCGAAGATTTGGAATTTGATTGCTCTCAAATCTCAAACATGCAAATAGTGCCTGTCATATATACCCCGGTGACTAGCAGACTACCACGGTGTGTTCTTTTTTTTTGCAGAGCGACTTTTGATCCATGACATTGCATCTTCGTCTGCAAAACAATGCCAATACCTGGGGTTCGATCCTCAATTTGCATTGGTCAAAACTGGTGATCACGCCAATGCAAAATTCATCATGATGCATGGATGCATGCATGCATGGTTCACACCAAGGCTCTGTGATTCATTATGCATTTGCAGATATGCATAAAGGCCTAGCCATGCAGGAATGCTAAAACAATGTTATACATGCGAGGTGTCAAGCCCAACACCAAAACGTGCGCCAAGATGCATGAAGCTTGGGGCGAACATACCATTCTTGGCGGTTTTGCCTTGCCGGGTTGAGCGCAAAAGCGGGATCATAATCCATGGATTCAATAATATACGATATTAACAGGTAGGGATCGAACCTTCGAACGCTTTTATTATTAGCTTTATTGGTCAATTCCCGCAAAAGGCCTCAGGGAGATCCTTGCCAATCTCAGCCACAATCGAACAAAGGATGTGCCATGGTGGAAGGCATCCCGGGCTTCAGTTTCAGTCCTCGGAAATCTCCATCAATTTGAATATTTGTTGATACTTTGGGGATATGCTACAAAGCAACTAAGATGCAATCAGGATATTTGCCAATATCAAAAACACAAATGCATTGTTTGCTTAGCTCGCACATGGCCGTGCTTGCATGGCTCTGCTGGCAAGCTTCATGAAGCGATTCGCAGCTTCGATGGCGTGCGCAAATCGGCTTAGATGCAACCTGGTCTGGACAGGGACAGAGGGAACACACATAGTAAGTGGTGAGATCAAGATCATTATCATAAGTAAAAAACAGGACATACATGTGTACCTTATTACCACGCATACACACTGCATGTTTTTAATATATACAACTTACAAAATCATTCGAGACTTTTCTCAGTGTGTGGGGATCATTGCATGCTGCATGCATGCATTGCATGGCCGTCAGAGACCAAGAACATAGATCGATCAAGTTAGTCAACAATCAGGGCGATACTTCTCGGAAATGGGACCGTTGTGAACAGCGGGGTCAGGAAACACACCTGTTGCAGACATGGCGCATTGCAAGTGCCATGATGGGCGTCCTAGGGTCAACTGCCGCAAACTGATCAGGTAGAGTAGCAGTGACTTCTGCAAGCCATTGCATAATGCATCTTCCATTGTACGCCTTCGCGATCAGCAGCACGTCCCCGTTCTTTTGATACAACTTGGCCCGGGCTTGCGGAATCACAGTTGTCACTCAGTGACTGGCAAGACTGTTCATAAAGCATGGATGCACAGCAGTGCACTGACTCACAGTGCTGCTAAGTTGCAAGCTTCTCTTGGAATGCAGGCTGACTGCAGTAGATGCCTTTTGCACTGCAAAACTGCTTGAAGTGGATGTAGGCCCGGTGAAGTAGGACTCTCTTGGAGTCCACGTTAGGATCGCCAAACATGCCAGAGTGCAAAAGGAGGTTCCTGAGCCGATCCATCGATGGATGCTATCCACCCAAACCCTCTTGAAAAACAACTATGAAGAACACACTGCAGAGCTCCACAGCCCCCAAGTTAAACAAGAAGGCGTTTCAATTTGTGCGCGCAAGTCGCAAAGTTCCACCGTTGCAGCCATACAAAATGCCTAGATGCAGTACATGCATCAGGCACCAACGAATACACGATGGATGAAAACCACGGATCGTCAGCAGTGGGCCTAGTCAACAAATTTCAGAGGCATGGACATGACATCCACCCGCTATGCGCAGGCCATTCCATCATGAAAGCAAAAGATCAAACACTGTTCATGGGCACATGCATGCGGGCGCATATGTGCATGGGTGCATCCATCATTGAACAACTGACTAGCTTTCACATGCATGCATGATGGACTTGTTGACAGACTTGATGGAAGGCGTGAACTTGCATTCCAAGTAACAAACAACCCGGGGAGGGATGCGGTTTGCAATGAACGATGTGACGGAGAACTCCCTGTGGTTGTTGGATTCGATGTTCCAATATACTTCCTGCCAGTTTTCTGAAATGCCCTTAGCATTGCATAGGTGGCATACATATTCTGCGTTCCACTGCGTTTTCCAAAACCGCCAAATCTTCTTGTGCCAGCTCCAATCTCCTCTGTACTCTGTCACCTGGAATCTATCCAGTCTAGACGTCAAAGGCAACCCGGCTTTGCGCGCAGCTGCACCACTCAGAGCCTCTCCATGCACACCAGCTTCAGGAAACCTGCCGCAATGAGCATGGTTGCAACTCCAGGCAATTCTCCTCAAGAATGCCTGTAAGGCTTGGGTGGTAAGCCGTTCCTCTGATATACAGAAAATCAGGAACCTGCTCCATCGCACTGATGAGGGCCTCCACAGTAGCACGTTGCAAAACATGGCAAGCACGTTCTCGCTTCCAAATTTTGTTGTCATTTTGGCGCTGTCGCCATACAGTCCGATTGGAACCATCAGCTCTGATTCCACATTCTGAGCCCATGGCTCTCCATGGGCTTTCGAACTTCTCCAGTACTTTAGTCGCTCCGAGTGGGGAACTAGAATTTTCCCAGCTCCAACGAGAAAGCTCATGCTTTCATGTACATCAATGATGGGCCATGGCTCCGAAATTACAACAGTGTTGCCATCCCCATCCTTGTACTTCACTGGGATGTCCAAATAGCTAACTTCCTGATTTGTGAACATAATTTCACCAACAAGCAAACGTATGCTAGTGCAAATCGAGATTTCATAATTTCGGAATTGCCGCTGGATTGTGTGTGCCTGCATATGAGTTTTACAAAATATAAATTCTACATGGTGTGCAGGGAGCTCATTCAGGAAAGAATGAATGAACATGCGTACACGCATGCCCGCTCAGTTATGACCAACTTTTTGGTCTCAGACGGTTCTTTTGTTTTTTTTTCCGGGTAATGAGAACAGGTCCTAGTGTAGGATTGTTTTGGTGATCTGATATGTTCCAAGTGTCTGGACCATCATCCAGTAGACGCCACCAATCTCTCGCACCATTGCTTTGCGACAGGAGCCCGAGTTTCTTGGTGAGTGGATGCAAGCGTTGGTTTCCAGAATCCTCAGCACACATGGGCGTGGGTATACCATTTCCTTCAAACAATTTGCTTTGCAAAAATGCTCAAATAATTGTTGCTTATGACCTGTTCTAGGGTCTGTGTTTTACCAAGAAGGTCAATTGACCAATCAGTTCATTGACAACTTTCAGAACAGCTGTTCCAAGAGCAGGGTCGACGGTCAGACCAGCATTGTCGGGAGAAGCAACGCTGCTGGCCAAGGAACTGCCACATGGGCGCGGATGTTCCGCATGACTTTGCCAACTGTGCTTCCCTTGCAACGGAGCGGTTGGCTGGGTTGGTCAGTGACTGGTTGGATGAGACATGAACGGTTTTTTGCGTTGAGGCCATTGTTTTATCACATCTTCGAATCAACAATGAACTGAAAATAGAACCTGAAAAGGACCAGTGATCTAGTGAACATGGAATGGGGACACGTACAACCACCACAAAATTAACCAACTGATCAACCAAGATGAAACCGGTTTAGACCATATTCCTTGGTGTCCAAGTAACACCGCTGCACACATCCTGAATGGCATTGGTGAGGACGGCGGAGGGGATTGCTTCAGCAGACCCAGTTGATTTGTCATCATCACTCTGCAGGCCTGCGTGGCGTATCAGAGGTGATGTATTCAAGA